TGCTGAACTGCGGGTCCCCAATTCAGGCCCCGCTCTCCAAACCCAGGCTGCAAAGAGCCGCTTGGTGCGAAAACACTGCACTTTTCAAGCTGCAGCTCTTTTAGACCTCCGCATTTCTTGGCTCAGACACAGCAGAGGTCTGAGAGGTCTCTATCACCTCCGATTTCCATTTTCTCCAGCCCTCCATCCAGCCCATTTTCTCCTCGCACAGCACAGCAAGGCCGGGGCTGCAGATACTGCCTGGGTATTAAAATAAAAAAGCCAAACAGCCACAAAAGGTTGCGTAACTCCAGCTTGACCTGCCACCACATCTCTCAAAGCCATGAAAAAAGCCGCCACAAAATGCACATTTTTATGATCACATCTTCCACCCTTTACAGCAACTACAGGGCTCAAAGCAGACCAGGACAAGTCCACAAGACCCCAAGGCAAAGATGGAATTTCAGCTCCAGTTATGGTTAGATTGGCGTCCAGACCATCAGCCCCAGATAGCGCTGAAACGCGGCCGCAGGGTTTCATCCAGGAATAGCCAGGGAAGTCCCTGGGCTCTTGGGAAAAGAGCTCAGGCACTGACAGCAGACAGGATTTTGCCTTTTATATCTGAAATGTCAGCGTAGTCTTTCATCATGAACTGATCCAGCTAAAGCACAACTCTGTGTGTGTGCGCGCGCACGTGGAAGTGTGCGTCTTCTCCCTCCTTCTCCCCCTGAGCTCCTCCTTGTCTCCAAATCCCGGCCACAAAGCTGTGAGATACAGGAAAATTTAGTTTTAATTCCCCGCCTAGCTGCAGTCCCTGCCAAGCAAGACCCCACTCGCATTCAGATTCACCGAGTCGGTGGTCTGCGATTGCTCTGCTAAGGGTCAAACAGCCCTGCGAGAAAAGAGCTGCCTGATTTAATGGAAGATCTTGGGCAAGATGCGATGCTGAGTCTGCACACCGAGCTGGGAGCTGGGACTCTCGCCCGCTCCCATCCTACGTGCGGCTGCGCGAGCTGCTGGGAGGCACTCGGAGGGCTGCTCGGTGCGGACACTTTGCTTTTCATCACCCCAACCTTCCTGATCCACCGCGCTGATGGACCCGTGCTGCTGTCTGCAGTGGGGTGCACAGGAGGTGGTATGTCATGCTGGGAACTGCCACCGTCACCATCAGGTAAGAGGGAATGACACGGGACGGAAGGGAAGCTCTACCATTTGGGATCTTCCAGATCCCAAGCCCAGAAAACGGTGGCTGAGGGCAGACAAGCCAGCTGCCGGGAAAGGCCCTACATGCAAACGATGCGCTCCAACCTCCCGCTGAGTCACACAGGGTCTTTCTTAATCAAAAGCCTACAAAAGCCGAGCTTGCAGTTTGCGCGTCGCCGTCAGCGCGCTGCGTGCGCACCAACCGCCAGGATCCAGGCCCTGGATAAGAGCGCACGAGGAGTGACCTGCTTTCACGTCCCACAGTCGCTCTTCCTCGCTCCCTCCAGCAAACGCTTTTGTCTGTGCTCAGGTAGATCATAGAGGAACCCGAGTGGCAAACACGCAGCCTTTCTGCAAAGTACACAACGCACCAGCTGCTGTGACGTTCCCACCAGAGGCTTTTTAGCCTCAGGCTTCGTAGCACTCTTGGTTTTATTTATTCAGGTTCAGCAAACTCACAAGATGAAAGCGAGACGAAGGAGTGTTTTATTAAGAAAGAGTCCATCATTATTTTAAAAAAAAGAAAAACAACCATCTTTCTGTCCTCCTTGAGACAGACTGGAGGCTTCTCAGCCTCCTCTGAGCACGAGGCCCATGCACGCTCCTCCTACGCAGTAAACCCAGACCTTTTGTCTCAAGTCTCACTGCAGACGAGACGGCTCAAATGGATTTTTCTTTCTCTGGATCTACCTTGGTCACGATGGGGAAAAGGAGACTTGGCAAAGCTCAGTCTCCTTTATCTTGCTTCTCTTCTCTTGCTAACCATGCCTTCACCTGGCTAAAGCTCTCTTGTTCCCCAGGAAAGACCTGGCTTGCCTTGCACTTGGCCATCGACTTTCCGCAAAAACGCTCCTCTGTGCAGCGGGGCTGAAGCACAAGAGGTCAAACCCTTACAGCGAGGGAGTCCGGCAGCCTGGAAAGGCTTTCACTTGGTCTGAGTCACACGACGGACGCGGAGATCCCTTAAGCTCCTGGTAGGAAAAGGAGAGGTGTCAAAACCAAGAGGTGCTGTGGAAGAGGTGGGTGTGTTACAGATCCATCACTTCTTCTTCCACGGCTTTGTCCTGAGATTGCACATACTTCTCCTGCACTGCAAGTGTGCTGATAAGGCAGTAATTAAGGAAAACAAGGGGCTGGGCTCAAACACTCCCTTCTCCAAGGAGCTCTTAACGTTCTCAGCGAGGAACCAGCCCCACATTAGCCTGAAGGCTGGCAGGAAGACGGCAGTACCAGCAGCAGCACGCATCACCCCAGTTATTCCTGGCTCCGGCTGATCCCAGACCCAACAAGTACAGGAGAATCAATTGTGTGGTTTGGACGAGGTGGAATGAACCAGTCCAAGCGAGTGTGAGAGTGAGGAAAGTTGTCAAAAGATTCCTCCCGCATTCACAGTATCAATTAGCAACAAATGTGGTGGCTTTGGTGTGGACAACTGTCTGCTAAGGTCTGGGCTGGGCCCTACTCCCTACACATCTCACCAAACAGCATCAGATGATGTTAGTAACAACCTGGGCCAGCCACCTGCCAGCCCCACCTCCGGCCTCTCTTCCCCAAGGAAGGAGAAATTACCTCTCAACATAACAGAGAATCAGTGGAGAAGGATACGAAGTAAAGTGGAAATCGGCTCCCACTGCTGCCGACATGAGAGCTTCCAGGCTCCTGTGCTCCTGGTCTCCGAAGGAATAGCCGTTGGCTTTGTCCACCGCCTGCATCACCTGCCGCATGCTCTCCTTATCCTGAAAGGGAGGGAGATGACGCACAGGGAGTCTGGTCCTTCCCTGGAGGCAAGAGCTCGTGCTGGGCTTTACCATGGATTTTCTCGGAGGCTCTGGGCCACCCACACAACGCCCAACGCCCCGAGGATGCTGCCGGCCTCCCTGAGCCCAGAGGAGCCCCAGGACAACCAAGGGCACCCGCTGTGGAGCCCGAATACATGATGGGCTGACACCCTCCACCCTCTCACTCCCTTTCATCACCTCCTGCCTCAGCCCATTTGCCTTTGTTGACACTTCTGCAAACAACCAGATTATCATTTTCAGCCCTTGCTCCCAAATGTATTCCTCCCTGTCTTCTAATTATTTTGCGCTCCCTAATTTAACCACGTTTTAGGTAATACTTTGCCCAGATTTGAAATGCAGGCACAGAAGAGCCGAATGAAAGGGGAGTCTTAATTCCCCACCCCAGGGCACAAGGCCCTCATAGCCCCAAGCTCATCAGCCTTTTCTTTTCCTTTGGCTGCCACAGACCATTTACAAGTCTGGGTGTGTTTCACTGTCCTCCTCCATCCCCGAATCTCTTCACAGCTGAGGTTTTCAGCCCTCATGGCTCTAAAAAGATGTAACCTAGCTGCTACCAAACAGGCTGACTACGTAGCCAACACTCCCTGTTCTCCCTGGCCCGCTCCTCCTGCTGCATCACCTGGACGTTGAGCGGAACGAAGGACACCAGGCTGTAGTCCTCAATCACCTCCACCAGCTTCTCATTAAGGCGACGGTAATTTCTGAAGAAGGGGTCAGAAGCCAAATGGTCAACCAAGTAAGAGAGGTCCAGGACCTCTGTGTAATAATCCAGGTTGAAAGCTGCAGGGAAACACCAAGAAACTCTGAAGGCAACTTATAAAATGAAGGACACATTGAGATTTACACCAGTTCCGGGACCGCCTCCCAGCAATACATCCCCATAACCGAACAGCTAATTTGCACCTGACACAGCCCAATTCGACATCTCCCTCTCACAAAGGCTCTTACCCAGCTTGCCGTATTGCTCGATCAGGTCCATCTTGGAGAGGATGTTGACATGGGGCAGTTCCACGTGCAGCATGGTGGAGAGGGAGGTGCAGAGAACAGAGATGAACTTGCCAGGGTCCGTGCAGTAGTGAGAATCCACCAGATGCACCGCAGCGAGCTGGACAGCAAAGGCACAAAGGGACAGCAGAAGGTCACACCCGTGATGAGTCCATCCACTTTTGGGACAGTCTGAGAAGTGGCTATAGGACAAGCTGTTCAGACCTGACTATAACCACGTAGACTCCCACGAAGAGAAAGTTACCACATTCTAGCTCCTGCATATAAAACATCCTCGTATATGAGTGCACTTACATATATATTTAGAAGTATGTATCACCACATTCACAGCTGTGGACCACTTGGGGCATTCAGGACGCAGGGTGCTGGTGCACAGACGGGGCTGTGGGGAGGGTTCTAGGGGTGCTGAGCTCCACCAGCAGTACTGAAAGACACTTAAGCCTGCAACTGCTCTCCCTTTTCTCAGGGCTTCTTTCTTTGCAGATGAAGTTTCCACACTTGGAACTCTGCGGGTTTTTTGGGGGTTGGAGCTGGGGTTAACTCTCCTTCTGAATGACACGACTGCCTCTACATTTCCACCTTCCCCACAGGAACGCTCACGCACAGCGTACGCTCAGGAGCGGTAAGGGTAGCACACCACGCTCTGCTGGGAGAACCAATTGTCATGTGGTTTGCAATAATAATTAATAATTAAATTAATGAGCAGCTTGATTCCCTGTGTTTTGTGCAGCTGTAACAATGTGGTCCAAGGTCTCTGTTAAGTTACTGCCTGCTCCACAATATTAGTCAAAGTCAGGGCTCTATAGTCAAGTGTGGTTGAGTCATAGCTATGCTTCTGCAGCAAAAATAGCAAGTCTAAAGCTCACAGGCAGGTGTGAGCACTTGAATGAGCATCAAAACAGCCGTGTAGCTATTTTTTTTAGTAACTAAAATTTCACGTACATTTATTTGAATAAAAATAATTCCTAGTGTGCAGATTCGCAGTGACATTCTCAAGCAAATGAACTTGCCCTTCTTGCTCACACCATACACAGTTTGCACATTCATGGTTTGGCCCAAATGCAAAACAAATGCAACGTAAGCAAGTTAGCTTGGTTATGGGACTCTTCTCACCTGCGCTTCCTCATTTGCATCTTCCATTGTGCAAGAAAGCACATAGCACATACTACAACGTGCAGGGCGATTCGGCTTGGCTGCAAGAGAGCCAGGTATGGCCTGAGACGATGCCTGAATTTCTCACAGTGCAGTGCAAAGGGTCCTCGCTCGCCCAGAGCACACATCTACCTCCCTGCTACAAAATGCGGCACCCACTCGGAAAAAACACACAAGGTCTGGGGAGAGGACCCTGGAGCACAGTGAGAGTGCGTGAGGAAGGAATCCATGTTTTTGTTCATGATAAACCCACCACATTAAATACCCTGAACAAGTCACTCTTTTGCTGATCCCTCCAAGCATAAAACGAGACAAAATTCCCCTCCTATAAAGCTGTTTCACATGAAAGGCCAAACAGGTTAGCAAAGAAAATAGTCATTAGTACCCACAACTGAAAGCTCTGACCGTGCAGCGTACAGTTTCCGCACCCCTTGCACAACCATGTGGAGTGCCAGGCGCTGATCCCAGCTCCCTGCGGAGCCCCAAACCTACCCTGAAATTCCACTTGGCCAACTGTGCGAAGACATTCTTCAGGGCGTCGTGGTGGGTGTAGAGCTCCACCTGCCCTGGGCAGTCAAACAAGTAGTAGTGACCCCTGAACGCAGCCAGCTTCTCCTGCAGCCAGTCGAAGTTGGCCTCCAGGTACTCCATGCAGTAGATCAACCCCCCGTTGGGCCCCAGCTTTAAGTTCTCCATCACGTCGGGCAGGGTGATGAGCTCAGCGATGTCTACGGCACACTGGTAGGGCATCGCCTCGTTGGCAGGGTCCAGGTTCACCACCGTCACCTTGCGCCCGATCCTGCCCATGAATTCCTGCATGCCATGGCAGTAGGTCGTCTTCCCGGAGCCCGGAGGCCCGACAACCACCTGGCCGAAGGCCAGCGAGCTCCCCTTGCTGCCCTCAGACATGTCGGCTCATTTCCTTCTCCTTCTGTTGGCTGAGAAAGGAGAAGCTCCCATTTACCATTTTATTTGCATTTATACGAATGCGATGGGCTGGAATTCACACCCAGGGAGCGGGTGGAGAGGAAGGAAAAGCGCCATTGTGTAACTGCTGCCTCCTGTCCCGTCCCATCCCTGTCCAGCTGAGCCCCATGCCGGGGCAAGATGTTACCCTGTTACCCCCCAGCTGGTGATGCCATGGCTGGAAACAGGGGCAAACCCCCACCCAGACCCCCAGGGCTGTGCCTGCGGGACACAGCTCGTACTCCTGCCCGTGTGTGGGGTGAGTTTCACCCTCGTTGGGTCCTTCCTGATGTGGCAGCACCCACACATTCCCTCCCTTGCCCCAGCATGTCCCCATGTTCTCCCCTCCATTTCTCCATGCCCCTCTTCTCCTTCATGTCCCCTCTCCTCCCCATGTAACCCCCATATTCCCACTCGCCACATATCCTCCCATCTCCCCGTGCCAGCCTATGCCCTCTCTCCCCCATGCTCCTTCCCCCACCAGAAGGGGTATCTTCTCCCCCCATGTCCCACATCTTCTGTGCCCCCTTTCCCCTCATGTTCCCCGTCCCCTCTTACTCCATCCCCCTCTTTGCCTGCATCCCCTTTTCTGCTCTACACCTCAAGACCCCCCTGTGTCCCCTCTTCTCCCCCATGTCCCTCTTTGCCTACAACCCCTTTTCTCCCCACATCCCCTCTTCTCCCCACATCCTCTCTTTCCCCC